ACTCATTTGTGAACTCTGAATCTACAGAAAAGAAGATTATCTCAAACAATATGTACAAAATGTGTTGTATATATGACCCTCGTCTAACGCCCTGTTTGGATCAAGTTAAATGTGAGGAGCTTGGAACATAAAAGTTGAAGTCCATAATAAAGACCTCACTAAATTTGTATAAAAAGCACTTAACAATGTCTTTTGTACCTGTTTCATGTCACATAATATCTTTCTTTTCTTCTGTAGGATAGCAAGTTGTTCAAATATAAGCTTGTTGCGACTAAAATTACATGCATGTTTTTCACTAAAAAGTGAAAAATCTATGTATCAGACCATACTGTCAGCAAAAAAAGTTGAATGCAAGAGTCTTTTTGTGCTCAGATTTATTGTATCATGTCACCTGAGTATAGAAATGATAGAAAAGACACAAATTTTTATTTCCTATAGCTTCAATATGCATTTTTAAATGTACATATGTGCTACGGCCTAAATTGACCCTAAATTATTTTCAGTCTTACTTGGCCTAAGACCCTTTTAAACTAATATGATATGTTATTTGTGAGTTTTCTTTCCATTTAAAGTACATTAAATACATATGTAAGGATTATTTATAACCAAAAAGCTTTACAAATTTAAAATTGCTGGAAAATATTACATCTTCATGTAAGGCCCCCCTTCATTGGAAAACCTCCATTTTTAGGCACAGGCTCATATAAATTTGACTTTTTAATAATTATGATAAGTCTGATAAATCAAATGAGTACTCAATTGCTTTTAATACATAATATTTTATATATTAAGGCATTTAAAAAGTATTTTTTTGCAGTATTTAAATTTTTTAAGCCCCAAATGTTGATAGTTGAAATTTTTCAATTTTAACATCTACATTTAACACGCAAAGTTGAATATAGAATTAGTCATATTGTCTATAATATATATCCTATTGCCATGAAACTTTGTAGGCAGTCTTATAATTTAATAAGCTTTGGTCATACCAAGTTTCATTAAGATTGGTCAACTTTTTCTACCCTATTAGGTCCGAGTACACAGTTATCGTCCTTTAATTTTCGTTGTCCACAAATGTAGTCCCTAGTGTGGACAGTGTGTTACTTGCCATTTTTTTTTATACCCCTTCCAAATTTATTTCTCCATGTTTTATGACTCAAATAGCAAGTAGGGGGGTGAAATGACACTGTAAAAAAATTTGGGTCATGAATTTTAAAGTAAAGTAGTGATTTGGTCCAGCTGAAAAATGTTAAAAATTAGCACTTCGGAAGCTGTCAAAAGATTTGAAGACCCCCTTAACATAAAATTGTCCATATTTTGAGTTAGAGCCGATGAAGTTTTCTATAATTTTGATATAATTTGTCCCAAAAGTAGTACAACACACTGTAAAAATATTATTGAGAAAGCGCAGGTGGGATTTTTTTAATTTTCATTTATTGTCTAAAAGAAATGCACTACGAAATAACTGTGTACTCGGACCCTCTGTCCGAATTTCATAAAATTCCATGAAGGTTTGAAAAAGTTATTGATGACTGAAAAACATTAATCTTAGACCTTTTAAAAATGCGAACTATAAAAAAGAACTAATCGATATAAGAAGATGTGGTACGAGTGCCAATGAGACAACTCTCCATCCAAGTGACAATTTGTAAAAGTAAACCATTATAGGTCAAAGTACGTCCTTCAACACAGTCCATTCAAAAGTGAATTTTGGAGAAAAAAATCAAATCTTGCCCTGGATGCTATATTTTGGTCATTAAAAAGCTGTCCAAATTACATAAAATTCCATAATGGTTTGTTAAAATTATTGATCTTTAAACAAACTTTCACCTGAGACTGAACCTAAATATGGACACCGCCGCCGTCGACGACTTCGGAATATAGGATCACTGTCTCGCTTTCGCGACTTAAATGGGCAAGCTCGACAAAAATTTAAAAAATAGAGATAACATGTTATTCTTACTGCAACATTGAAGAAGATCGATGATCTCCCCTTTAACATATTGATTCCTTTGTGCACATCCTCAGACCTGTAATGTTTTACAGTTGAGTCAAGTGTTATCAATATCCGTTCAGTTGAGGAGTTGCACTTATAATGCACAATAGAGTATTTTCATAATACTGACTTTTGACTCCAAAACTTTTATTTCTCAAGACCCCATCAAGGGTATGTGAATATTAACAGTAATAACAACAATAACATATATACATCTATACTACTAAAATAACGAGGTCCAATTTGTTAGCCGGCATGACTTAAACACAAAACGACGAATCAAATAATTCAACTTTATATATAACTTATATAGGACAATTGTGTTGTTTAAAAATTACACCATTCCAGGCCCTTTTGTTTTCCACATAATGAATATTACCAATAATTAAGAAGTTCTGGGTCGAATCCGATACCAATACCTATAGTATATGTCACATGTAGTTTCCGGTTGTAGTTACCTGCTACCTTATGTAAATCCCTCCTCTATCAGGAGAACCTGGAATTCTTCCAGTAGTTGTTTTATATCTATGTTACACCATAGTACATTATTTAACAAGTCTGTTTTCTTCCACCTCAATACCACTATTAATTTTGGTTAATTTAGTAAAAGAAAATGAATTAGTTAATGATAAGTTTATTGTAGTTAGAAAACCAGGACGGGCTCAAACAGAAAGATTTTGAAAGCAGAGAAAACTGTGCACCTTACAATCAGCATGACTTTTTTAGATGACAATACGAATACTAAAAATTTAGGCTAAAAATAAGGCATAGGTACTTTAATTCAGTCACGGAACCGCGTTGTCGCGGGTGTGTTCTAGTAACAATGAAATGAATGGAATCACATGGTTACATATGCAATGGTATGAAGTAATGTTTTGTGGAATTTACAGTGGAAGGCAAATCTTAATTATAAAAGACAGAACAATTTTAAAAAATTTGGCAAGTTTAACAATCAAACTGTAGTCATCAGAACAAAAAATAAATCACAATTCTTTATAGTATTAGGCTTTTTAAATACATTACAGAGCGAAAGCCTTTTTCTTTCATTTGAGAAAAAAGTACATTGAAACAGATAGTGAAATTCATTACCAATTTCACATAAATTGCATAAATCACAGATGCGAACATCACGTTCATCACCCCAAAAAACGACCGTGTTCCATTGGCAATTTATGATTTATACATCTAAAATTACAATAAGCCTTTCGAAAATCATATGGTAGATCAACATTATATCTTTCAAAATTATGAACTGTTATGAAACTTCTATAGCTTTAAAAAAAAACAAAAAAACACTTAGTTGAATCATAAACAGTAGTAATCCATGTTTTCTAATTAAATAAAGGCAACAGTAGTATACCGCTGTTCGAAACTCATAAATCGATAGAGATAAAAACAAATCCGGGTTACAAACTAAAACTGAGGGAAACGCATCAAATATAAGAGGAGAACAACGACACAACAAAAACACAACATTAAAATGTAACACACACAGAAACGAACTATAATATAACAATGGCCATTTTCCTGACTTGGTACAGGACATTTTAAGAAAAAAATGGTGGGTTGAACCTGGTTTTGTGGCATGCCAAACATCCCGCTTTTATGGCAATGTTAAATATAACATTAAAATGACAACATTACATGACAGGATTACAATACAAATAAATGGGAGAACATATAGGACCAAGAAACACACGAATAATAGCTAACAAAAGGCACCAGGTTTAAAATCCAATACGCCAGACGTGCGTCTCGTCCACACAAGACTAACCAGTGACGCTCAGATGAAAAAAGTGTGAAAGCCAAAACAAGTACAAAGCTGAAGAGCACCGAGGACCAAAACTTCTAAAAAGTTAAACTCAGAGACATAATTGTTTGACTAGATTTGATACGATTACATTTTCGGTACACTTTGTAACAGCCAGTACTCTGAAAGGTCACAGTTATTTAGGTTCTTTTCAATACAAACAATCCATTAAGAATGGAAGTTTTTTCATATGCATATTATATAATATCTTATACAAAGAAGCAGCAATTTTATCTTGCTTATTAAAAATAATTCTTTTCCAGAATCCCCCAGTTTATGATTTTCGACAGGTTACATACTCTTTGGTAGGAAGAACAACTAAAAGAAGTAAACGGAAACAAGGACAAATTTACTGTTTTCCGATGATTTTTCGTGTATAGAAAACATAAAACAGTAATTTTCCCCCCAAATCGCACCGATTGTAAAGCAGGTAACCTGTCAAAAAATTATAAACGCCGGAGTCAAAAGTCGGCAATATCAAAATAGTACAGATTGCAATTCTGAAGTAATTTTGTTCGATTATCTCCCTTTTAATTTATAAGACTGGAATAAATCCCTTCATGTACACCCTCAGCTAGTTCTAAATAATCTCATCATAGGTATCAGGATTGAAATTTTGTACGCCAGACGCGCGTTTTGTCTAAAAAGACCCATCAGTGACGCTCGAATAAAAAAAACTAACACAGTGTAAAATTTTATCAAATAATCGCCTAGCTCTTGAGTGAAGCTACACAATGCACATTAAAAGACAGACTGCAGGCGGGCTTGTTGATTTCTATTTACCCCCAATAAAAAAAAAGCATAAACAGAAACAAAAAACAAAACAAAAACATTTTCCCCCGAATTTTTTTCACACAGCAAGTTGATTTTAAAAAGTCCTTTAATTTTGACTAATTGTTGCATCTTAACAGCAATGTTTAGAATTGACAGGCTTTGTTGACTTGCTCGTGTATTTGGAATGATTCTTTCTTGATTGTACATTCAGGTATTAAACGTACGAAAGAGAAAAAAGATGCAACGAATGACGATGCTTTAGGCAAAAGTAGATACATGCAAGTCCGCCCTCCCCCTTTACACACAAACACACACACTTCCACTTACAAGAAACGTTTACATATGAGATGAACTGACACTCAATTTATAAAGAACAAATCTGAATGCAATTTGCAAGAAAGTATATTAAAAATAACACTATACCTTTTGTATTCCGGAACCCATTCTACAACTTCAGTTAATAAGTATGTACCGAGGAATAACTGATACAATTTGTCACTTTCTACTGTCTAAATTTAAACGTTACACTTAAAACCGGTTTGAAAATCTAAAATGTCAGTTTGACATGTTGTTTTTGGACTGCAACATTTAAAAAATATTTGATTTGATTCGAGAAATGCACTTCATCATCTTATACGCAAGAGCAATCATTCGTTTACAGCGATAAGTACTCGATAAAAACAAAATCGATTAAATCCCAAATAAATAAGAAATATTAAACCATTACACCAGAACAGACTATCTCCTACAATGATTCATGTTATGCAAATAGGTATTGTCGTCGACTAAGAATACACGCTAAATGTGAATATGTATTAAATCAAAGGAATGGTTGCGCCCAATAAGTGGTATTAGGAATTGAAAATAAAGAAATTTCTTTTCTAATTTTTACCAAAGTAACTATTAACAAATGCTCATACAATGTATTGTTTGACCCTTTTATTGTCTCACAGAGGTGGCCCGCATTTCTCTGTGCGTTTAGGTGTGAAGAGAAATCTTAATCCACCTAATGTTTCAAATTATATACCTGTAAATCATTTTACGCCGTCGCAGTGAATTATAGTCCTTAACACCATACTCCCAGGAGAACATTACTTGAAAGCGTTCATACTTTGCGGGGTCGACATGCCGGGCCCTTTATAGCTTTCTATATGGTTCGAGTTTTACTCATCGTTTAAGGGCGTACAGTGTCCCATAGTTTTGTTTACATCCTCGTCATTTGGTCTCTGGTGGGTAGTGGTCTCATTGGCAATAATACCACAACTCCTTATTTTTAGATTCTGTATCAATTATAAATTTTCTGTCTGGTCTTTTTGCGTTCGTCCCGTGAAACATCACTCTTCTACGACCATTTGTCCGCAATTTTTCATACTTATTAGGGTTGTAATTTTGTCATTTTTTTTGACAAATATAATGTGAGTTATAGAACTTAGACCATTTTTGGCCAATCCTCTACGACCATTTCACCGTAGTAGGGTTGTAACTTGGTCACTTGACAAATATAATGTGAATTATGGGACTTTTAAGATGACCATTTTTGCCAGTGACACCTTCTGAACTGTACTCTCTGAGCCCCATGTGTTGGAAAGCTTTCATAGTTGAAGGTTTGTCCAGAGAAGCGCTTCGGATGAATCATTTTTTTCTTTTCTATTACTGGGTCCATACCACTTCTCTGCAGGTGGACTGCTATTACCAAAGAATATAATCAACTCAGTAGTCAGTGCTTCGGTACTGACATGATATATAACATTATCTATCTCAAATTCCTCTTTGATAATATTATGACCCTGCATAATTACGTGAAGTCGAGTGATGCCTTTCCTCATCAGCTTCATTAACACAGTACATGATGTATGGTGGAATGTACATGAATTAACTTGCAGATCAGCTATTTTCGTCAGTCGTAAAGGATGATAAATATTCAGCACAAACTGGACCTTTTGTTGAAGTTTTTCTCTTTATAATGTAAAAGATCATCTCGGATGATGTTGTTAGCATGAAAGAAACCTCTAACAATGTCTTTTCTTCCGGAGTCCCGGTTTTATTTAGGTGACCGCGAAGTTCTTTGTAACTTTGTCACATAATGGTGAAACAAATATGCTTAATTCTGATTTCCTGGCTGTAGGGAATGCTTTTAGTGCAGTGATTTGGATGACAACTTAGAGGAGAAAGATATTGATATTATGTTTGTGCATGGACTTCCTATACAGATCTGTCAATGTGATTGTAGAGGGATCACATGAATTTTATTAAGGCGTTGCTCGTTCATTACTGGTCAACATTATAATCCATTATTCGGTTTAACAGCATTAGCAAACATTATTTATTTGTTATATTTGCCTGCACCAATTAATCCTATTTAGCGGAGTGTTTTTTTCATGAAATTATGGTGGTCGGTTAAGGCCATTTTGTGTTTTCGCCTTTTCGACTTTCTAACCGGCCACCATATGAAATAGCTTGGTCACCCTTTGTAGTAGTAAAGCAAAATATTGCAAGGTTGTCGATTGCCTTATATTTATAAGATCATTGTATTTGTTACATACCAAATCTTGAGTGCTGCCTTTTCCATTTAGTTATACTCAGAGAGTAGAAACTAATTCAAATACCACGTCTACCGATTCTATGAAGTAGATTTGCAAATACGGCCCGTGTGGGACTATTGAGGTGTCGGACTAATGGGGTGTCGGACAAATGGGGCGTCAGACTAATTGGGTGTCGGACCAATGTGGCGTTGGAATAGCGGGGCGACCCCCATGAGTTTTAGTGGACGAAATAGACATGTTTCTGAGATTTTGAAGTGTTCTGGATTCCTAGATTAAAAGTCTTCATTTATTTAAAACCTTCAAAATGTTTTTATTTTCAAATCTTAATTTATAAATCTGAGGAAATTAATTCCAAAAGAATCTTTATTTGATTTTGAATGAATCATACCTCGTTTTAAATTGTATCAAAAGCCCAGACCTTACATTAATAAAAAAAAGGTTTTCATTTGATCACGATTAAGAAAACATGCTGCGTAGACATCCTTAACATTTAATCTCGCTTAGAGTAACCAGACCCTATCTAATTTTAACGGTCCAACATTATTTTTATTATTCAAGCAACCTCGTTAAAGTCAATGTCCGCAGTGTATAGCATTTTTTTTAACCGATAGTCTATACAAGGGAGCCTATGAGAATGTGACCTGGGTATAAATATCAATAACCGAAAATCCAAGCTATCAAACTACCCTTACTTGTATTTTCCAGTATATTTAGTTATAAATATAACCTTCACCACATTTATGGTTTTTAGGGCTTATGCTTTTTTTCATTCAATATAAATGCCTATGTTGGGAATCGAACACACGTACGCCAACTCCGTTGTTCCATATAGAAGAAGAAGAATATTTTATTCCAATAAATTGCCCCGAAGGGCATAAACATTTGACATGACAATACCATTATCATTTGAGATTAAAACTTATAACATTCAATAAATTCAAGTGAATATATATAAAGGAACATAAGTTTGCTCTCAGAACAAAAATAATAAGAATGTGTCCATAGTACACGGATGCCCCACCCGCACTTTCATTTTCTATGTTCAGTGGACCGTGAAATTGGGGTCAAAATTCTAATTTGACATTAAAATTAGAAAGATCATAGCATAGGGAACATGTGTACTAAGTTTCAAGTTGATTGGACTTCAACTTCATCAACAACTACCTTGACCAAAAACTTTAACCAAAAACTTTAACCTGAAGCGGGACAGACGGACGGACGAACGAACGGACGCACAAACCGAAAAGCATAATGCCCCTACGTGGGGCATAAAAATCAATAAAAGCAAGTAATATATTTCTATCTTTTTGTTTTGGAAACATTGTTGTATGTCTTTTGTCGACTTTTGTTTCTGTTTTTATTGCACTATAGTATCATTCTTATTTCTAATTTTTGTTGCACGTTACCTAGTATGCTATTACCACTTGCCAAGTTAGGGGAATTTAGGCCGAGATTGCTTGGACGTCTGATGACCTTTTTGGGACTTATAGGACTCTAATACATATAAACACATGATATTTTCCGATACAGACTTTGAGCGACAAGTTTCTGTCTCGAAATTGTAATAGAAAATTGTCAATCAAGTCAAGCAAGCACGATTCGTATCGTTTCCTTATTGATTGTTCTCCACAAATGCGTACCTTTTATCCAACGACTTCCCCCTGTAGCACTAACGAAAGCTTTATTTCTATCAATCCAACTGTTTTGCTATGTTCTTTACGAATCTTGTCCAAAAGTGTAAAAAAAAAAGTATACGTGAATGACTGGAACAAGAACCTGTTCAATATTTATGACTGTATGTGCACAACTCAAGCTAGAACCAGTTGTTGTAAAACTATATGTGTCCAACTGGAACAAGAAATCGGCCAAGTAGTATTGCCATATACTGTGTATATACGACCAGAGCCAGATAGCTGTCTAATGATTTTAATACATGGTGTATACGACCAGAACCAGATTGCTGTCATATGATTTCAATACTGTATGTATACGACCATGCAGAGCCAGATAGCGGTCTTATGATTTATATACTGTGTGAATACGACAGAGCCAGATAGTTGTCCAATGATTTTAATACTGTGTGTATACGACTAGAGCCAGATAGTCAATCTAATTAAAATATAGTTCTCTGGTTTCGTTATACTCATATGCTTAAATGTACGATCACGCGAGTTAATATAGGTCTGAATTTTAATCAGATTGTCAGATAGCTGTCCTATGATTTTAATACTGTGTGTATACGACTAGAGCCAGATAGTCAATCTAATTAAAATATAGTTATCTGGTTTCGTTATACTCATATGCTTAAATGTACGATAACATAGGTCTGAATTTTAATCAGATTGCCAGATAGCTGTCCTATGATTTTAATATTGTGCGTATACGACCAGAGCCAGATAGCTGACAAATGATTTTAAAACTGTGTGTATATGTCCAATGATTTTAATACGGTTTGTATACGACCAGAGCCAGAAAGCTGACATAGCTATAATTTTGATTTATATAATTTTGTATAACATGGTCTTGTATAATATCCATTGTTATTTTTGATGTTGTTCGTCGATATATTTGTCTCTTTGGTCTTTTTCTTATTATTTGCCATAACGTTGTCTGTCCTGCAGCGACTCATTATTTCGATAGTCCTTTCCATCTTCATATTTTTCCTCTTTCATTTAATTAAAAAGCTCGTTTGCCTTTCATTTGATTCTTAACTCACCATTCATATGGTCCGGTAATGTCGAAGATGGATCTTAGAATGGAGATCAAATTTCTACAATTACAATTACTTTATTTTAATACAAGTACAAGCATTGTGTTATTTCAAAACGAGGAGAGTTTCCCAAGAAACAATCTTGAGTTAAATCGCATACAGTTCAATGTATTTATATCGAAACTTTTGTATCTTTTGTATTTTACTTATTTTGATTAGTTCATGGTCCGAGAATTGGGGTTTTGTGTAGAGCTCGTATATGTAGAATATTTGTAAATCTATCATATGCGATTAGTTGCTCAGATAATACCTTAATTTACGACGTACAAAGTACCTGAATGTCATATGTAATGATAACAGCTTTCTTTAATTCAGTGTACTTAATTGTGCATGCTATAATATATTGGTTTACATATATATATATTGTATAGATATATAACACTTTGGTGACATTCAAAAGGTTAGTAAGTTTCATGAAAAAAACTAGATTTACATTAGAACACTTGATGTTTT